AGGCGAAGCCCAACTCGACTTACTTGGCTCAATGATATTCCGCTCTTGCAAGTCGTTTAGAATACGCCTCAGCTCCACGCGGGTAGCTAAGGGTATCGGCCTAGCTTTTTGTCGGATGGGCGTTGCTTCACCCGTCTCAATGTTGTGTTCCACCAGCTTTGTTTGCATTAACTCTTGTTCGCTCACCGCAAAAACATGGGCGTAACCTTTGACGAGCTTCTCTACTGCCTCATTGTACTCTCCACTTGTCCTGTTACCTTGAAGTAACCTGAGCAATTTTCCTTCTCTATCTGCAGCTACGTCCTCCGTGCGCTGCAGCATGTTTCCGGAGTAATTGACAGGTTCCACTTCTACGAATTCCGTGGGTTCGAAGGTTCCCACCTCCTCCCCCACACGGAAAATCTTTGCTCCGGCAAAGGTATTCGTTATGGGCAAAGCCAACGCTTGATTTCCACCTTTCCATAGGACATCCGGCAACAAGTGCTCTCTAGACCAGAAGATTCCCTCCCGCGTGAGACCTTCGCACTGGATTGGTACAGATTTTGTCTCTCCTGGTCGTATATACATTCTTTTTGTAATGGTCACCGAGAACGAGCTATTTGAATTCCTTTGTTGTTTTGCACACAGTTTATTTGATGTGTGAGAGTTGTTCTCTTCAACGCCGGAGAGATTCGCCGAAGAGTTCGTGCGGTTCTGTTGGGTGAGGTCATATCCGAGCTTCTGGAGTGCATTTGTTCCTAGAACTATCATATCGTCGCCTCCAGACATGACGAACAAAGCGACGCGTTCCTTACTACCATTTGTTGTTTGTAGCGTTAGCTTCAGAGCTTCCTTAAAAGTCATTTTATTGCCTGACGCGTCAAATACCTGCCGGTGCTTATCCAGCGGTACTTCTTCCACATCAGCGTCTAGGTCATAGCCTGACTCTAACGCCGTCTGGAGCATTTGCAGTGGTATGATGCTGATTTGTGAGCCTGTATCCAGCAATGCTTTCCGTGACATTCCAAGAAGACGGACATCTGTCGTGGTTTGTTCACCCACTAGCTCACACTTATTCTCAACTTCGATTGCTCCGCAGATCCATTTTCTTAAGGATGCAGTGAATACTTTTGGCTCTGCTGTTTGTTGGCCGCCCTTCACTGTTTTCTTGGTGAAACTAGATTTCTTTGGGAGTGTGCAGTCTTTTTTTAGGTGTCCTTGTTTGTTACAGTTGTAGCATTTAACCAGGGCTTCTCCCTGCTCTTTCTTTAGTGGTATTTCGTTACTGTTGCTTATGTTCTTTTGTGGTACCACGGGTTTCTGCACAGTAGTCACTTTGAACCCGTCAGTGCCCTTGCGTCTTTGGCCTTCTTGGCAGTTGCGAGTATGATCCGCATAGGCTTCCTGCATCGCTATTGCCACTTGCTTACTTCTCTCGCATCTTTGTGCCATGGCTTTACCATTTCGTAGCCGCCTCTTTTGGAGCAATCTCCATGGTCGTATAGAGCTGAAGATATTCGGGCCAGTCCGTTAACTGGCTCACCAACTCCCCTGCTCGGGTGCGTGACAATTCTTCTTCAGAAGCGTCGGGGTATGCCTCTGTGGTCAGCTTCTCGAGCTCCAAGCAATACCTCGTTATGTCTCCAGATTTTCTTAAACGTTTCAAGTCCATATACGCCTTCATTTGAACGGATGAAGCGTTAACGCTAAACTTTGCACGCAAAGCTTCGACGAGGTTATCGAAATTTCCTTCCCTTAACTGTCTGGGTAGTGCCTTAGCTACTGCCTTCGGATACCCTTCTAATTTCGAAAGCAGTAAATGATTGAGCAGGTCATCTCTTAGCCCAAGGTTCTGGTATTTCATCGAAAATTTTAGCATGAAATCTTCAAAATTTCTCCCTCTGTATGCCTCCACTTCGGGTAGGGCCATTGCTGCAAATATGCAGCCCATTTGGCTTTCTTCACGATGTGACTCACCTGGGTTTCGGTACTTCGTCGACGACAATTGGGTCGAGCCCTTGATCTTCGGCCTCAAGTCGGTCGTCTTTCCTGGCTGCAAAAACATCTGTTCAGCTGTCCCAGGCTTGAGTTCATCAGTTTTGCCAGCTTGTTGGCGAAGCCTACCTTGAGCAGCAGCGATAGGATCGAAGTTTAGATGATATTCGACATTGTCGAACTCGCTGACATTTAGCTGCTCGTAGACTGTCGCAGGAGCGTCTCCACAGCTTCCTGTTTCCGGATGCTGACGAGGCTGAAAGTGAAAAGGATTAGAATGCTCAGTGTGAAATGCTGCTTGCTCAGAAGTCGCCTCATTTTCGACTTTAGGTGAGAATACCTTTTCATACTGCTTAGCCTCTGTTCCGAGCATTTCGCTTTGTAGAGCCTTCGCATTTAGCACCAGCGCGAGTGTTTCACACACTACTTTTTTAAAAGCGCTAACTTCGTGTTCCAATTCATTCAACCGCTCCAGCTCCTGCTCAATGAGGTTGCACTCCTCATTTATCCTTGAGCTGACTAGATCCTCTAGTTGCTTAGCGGTTCTAGTTGAAACCCCTGCAGCATCTGTGCAGGCACTCTCGCAAACTTGCCAACCTCATTGCAATAACTTCACTTGAAGTACGCACCTGTGGCATTTCCTTGCTGCGAGGCTGTCCACCTTTTTGACAAGGTGCTCCAGCGTCGTTTTCATTGACGCTAACTGTTCTGCTGTTGCTGTGTTCTCATCCAACAGCAGACGCTCCAGATCCTCTGGATTCATCTCGACAACAGACGACATGGTAACCTGCAACTGAGAAACTATCCGATCAGCTGTTTCTTTTCCAGCACGGATTTCTAAAGGCTCAGTGCAATACTATATGAATGTTCGTATATCACCGAATCGTAACGATCGATACGTTTGGACCCTTCCGCTGATAGGAGTACGCCCCGACTATAACAGTCAGTACAGCCAACAGTACTGCCTAACCGTTGAGTCGGAGGGGTACTCTGCCTACCCTCGGCAGGAGTCTCGCCTTCGCCGTTGTTACCGGCCCCGCAGGCGGTATCGATCCTCTGAGTCGGTACTTGGGTTCGGCCCCCAAGTTACGCGGATAGCAGGCACTCAGATTTATTAGAAAGCTTCAACTGAACTGACAAAAGAGAATCATGGGTTTATATAGGCACGTGGAAGGCGGAAGTGATAAGATTGTGACGTGGCAGATGGTCGATCCTTCACGCTGAGCTTATCGACTCGGACTCGGTGGCTCGTCGGTATTCGGCTCATACTTAAGGACGCGAAATCATTTGTAACAAAAAGAAGAACGCATAGCATAAAACTAAACTAGCTATTCAATAAGCGTCGGCTCCGCACCATGTTGAAATGTGCGGAAGCACCCTTCGCCGTCCAGCTTATGGTGAACGAATGAGAGTCTGTGTTTCAAAGCTAGTCCAAACTACTAGGGCCAATGTCTAAGAACAAACAGCGGAAGAATTGTGAAATTAACTTCAAACAAAAAGTGGAGAGTCACTAATTGACGCTGCACATCCATAGCCGGTAGTTCCAGGGTTGACCTATTTTGCGACGACGGCGACCCTTTAAATTTGAAAATAATAAAATGTGGGTGTTGAAATCATGTGAACAGACCAAAACCAGACACTGCTTTACACTCTTCAGAAACCAAAAAAACTTATATCGTCTCAAGGCTATATAGGCTTCGATGATAGGCTGATGGATGAATGGATAGATACCCACCCAGCTTATTTCGAAATTTGGTCGAAATCTCAAATTTGGCTACAAACTTGTCCCTAGGGGTATTTTAATCTCCGGAACACGAATATCACACTTGTTTGCTGCAAAAACGTCTGCCAAGAGTTCTGTGGGCTCCATGTGCAGTCTTTAGTAAGTACCGCCGAAACTGATTAGAAACTCCTCGCAAAGTCTTTGCACGGGTAACTACAGGCAAGCATTGATCGAGTAAGGTAGTTGGGAGCCTTTTTCAATCATTTTGCAGCGAAGGCAAAAAAGAGAACCCGCCAGGGAATCGATCCTACGACGTCTCGCACGTGAACCCGGACTACTACCGCTGCACTACTTTCCTTCATAACTCCATTCGGAAAATCGTTTGGCAGATTTGGAAAGCAGATTCGAGATCAGCGTCCAAAAACGCATCCACCGGTGTAGGTCTCTTACATATGGCCACTTCGACCAATCATCCATTCCTAGTGAGGCCTACTGTGTGATGCGCGCAGTAGCGGGCGGAGCAACACTGGTAGTAGGATATTCTGCTGACACAAGATAGATACGTATCGATTAAAACTGCATTAGAGTAGTAGATTTTGAAAACAGAATAGTAGTAGAGTAGGAATTAGGATGATAGTGGATTAGGATAAACTGAAAGCTAAAATGATTGGAAACGTACTGATCCTTCCACTGAAGACGCCTAAAATGACAGTGAGGGCGCTCATGGCCTTCAGGTAGAGGTGACATTCAAAACGCACTTAAAAACCGCTGGCAGGTGGCACTAGGACTAAGCCCAGGAGAGAGGAAACACCATGTGGAACAAAAATTGCTCCACCCTCCCACAGAACCCCATCCCCTCCCTAAGGCTCAGCCCCAAGTGTTGTAAATAGCTCAGTCACTTGGATGTCTCCCTAAGCACTTGAGCGCATGAGTGAAAATTCAGCGAATCACTAAATGACAGTGGCAAAAATTTGCAGACAAGGGAATGCCTGGCGAAAAGCCAGGATTGAACTTGTTAATAGCGAGAACATACGTGTGA